TTAACACAACGCTGAACTGCACTTTGAAAAAATTTTGTCTCAACAACGCCCGGAAATTGATTTTGAAATTCTATGAAACATTCCTCAATAGAATACTTCCATATTCCATCAATCTTGCGTCCATTTCTAAAGTAGGACTCTATGATAAAACACTTTTTGTTCTTGAGAAAACACCATTTTAAATGCCTTTTAAAACGAAAATATTCAAATTGATAGCGGCGATATAGCGCTTTGACAGATGAAGTTTAAGTTCATTTGCTATACGCTACGCCCTACGTCCAAATTTTCAGAACCAACTTGACCACGTTTTTATTTGAACGCTTGTTACATGTTAGAATAAATTGATTAATTTATTGACAAAATGTAAAGTTACCAACATATAAAATAAAACCGATAGAAAATATAGTACATACAAAATCTCTAGCAAGCTAATTACAATAAGATACAAGATATTTATTAAATCATACAGTCTTTATAAATGATCGTAAACCACGTGTCCAGTAATTCTGTTTCAAACAGTAATTTTATTTCTTTCATGTTGACAATTAAATTTCAATAAAATTATAAATTATTAAAACATTAAGATCAAGACTACATTACACAATATTCTGTTTCATCGGCTGTGATTGATGTAATTTTTCAGAAGATAGATTCTAGTCAACCAATCAGCAATAGCATTATCTCGAGAGAAACATAACAGTTTGTCATTGTTCATTGTAAACGGATCATTAATATTGGTGACAGTAACATTTAGATTGTTAGTTGACAATACCAATTGTGCAATGTTGGTTGCCTAAGCTCAACGTTCAAGTGACTTGTAAACGTTTATTTATGAATCTCTCTGTATTTTTGTTTGAATATAAAACAATTTTTTCAATGTAACTAACATTGGTACCAATTCATAAAAATTAAAACCACTAAAAATTTTCAAAATTAGAACCGATTCTATAGTCTCTAATTTCTTAAAGTTAGAACATTTGTATTATATGCACCAATATAAAACTGTCAATCTCTCAATATCAATCTATTGGGTAAAAAATGATCAAATGTAAAACAAGTTTTAATGCAGTTTGTAATAATTTTTTGAGCCAATCTTTTGTTTTTTTTTAAAGCAGATAAAAAAATTAACCTATAATACAAGTACAGTGTAGGATAAGCTCATCAGATAGAGAAAAATTGAATTTCTGTACAAAAATGTTAAAATACCATGATTTCAAACCACAAATTTGAATTTTTAAAATTAACCAATCACGGTCTAATTTCAAATCGTAATCTCGAGATCAGAGTTAAAAGAAGTTAACTCATAGATTTGACAAAGAATGGATGGAGTAGATGCTTTTCTTAGTACCAAGATTCCCCAAGTCAAGTGATATAAAATTCTAAGCTCTTATTTGTTCCTACATGCAATTTGAACAATAATTTAAAGAAAATGCTTAGGGCTAGTTTCGTCTCATTATACATCTTGGGTCCTTACTATTCTATTCTCTACATTCCATCCACACCCTACCAAACCTATGCATTAAATGATATAGTGAAATACCTACGACAAATGTGAAAATTTTCAGATTGCTCTTCATTTATTTTTGTAAATAGAAAACTAACCTTTTTGTGTCCTCCTCATGTACTACATCAGGAGAATCTAGTTGTTCTAATTTTACAAACAACTTCCTTTCAGATGCTTCTTCCAATATCTCTTCTTTACAATATACAAAATTATTTGTAAAACTGGAATAATATTCATCATATTCTGTCAATGTGCCTAACAAGTTATCTTCAACTGCATCTAGAGGTTCTTTTTTAATTGTTTCTTCGACAAATTCGATTTTTATTTCAGGGGTTCTATAATCCACTTGCTTAATGTCTTCAATTTGAACAAAATTTTCTTCCATAAAAGAATTTTCTTCGAAAAATATCATTTGTTCGTTTTCAGCACATTTCTTCAAGAAATGGAAGGAGTTTTGCAATTTCTCAAAACAGATACTACAAATTACAGGGCACTGATAGTTTTCAAAGTCCTGAAAATGTTTAATATAGATTTTAAAGCTAACAAAGATAAATTGTACAGCACTCACCAAATCAAGGGAAGAATAATCCAACATTTCCTTTATTTCATAATAAGGAATTGCATTTTCAAAATGATTAAACAAATATATGCCTATGTCACTGTTTTCCACTGGTGTTGTACAGGTTTGACACAATTTGTCATTTTTTATCACGGCAGCACATAGCTTACGATTACTTTCTTTAGCATTTGTGGTAAAATCGTACACTGACTTAAGACTGCTATGACATGCAGCACAAATAAGAGCATCTTTATAGCTATCCATATTCTAAAAAGTCAGTAAAGATTTGAACTGTTTGACAAAAAATTTTAATTGGATCTTTACCTTCGCTGGAAAAATGGTTTTGGTTATATGTCTTATATTTACATCATTCATTTTAATACAAGAAACGTGGAATTCCAGACAAAAATTGCAAGTTTCGTTCATTTTTTTTAAACAACTAGTATTGAAATTCAGCTAGTTAACAAACAATAAAAGCATCAACAATCAACACCAATCAAAATCAACACAAGTTACGAAGCGATACGAATTTAGATGCGAAATGCGAATAAAGTTGTCATCTTCCTCTTCAACGTTACGTCAGATAGCTTGGACTTCAAGGCGTTTTCGAAGTGATGAAATACAATCAGTAATCAGCACCAACCCTCGAAATTTAAATACACCAACTACTTTTTACTCATATTTAAATACTATATAATCAAATGGAAATGTCTTTAGGGCTCTTGGAAAATTGTGGTCGTGTAAATCCAATCAGTAGGATCACTGATTTTGTTGTTCAGAAAGTTCATGTTAAAAAGTATTTGAAAAGAACAATATTTGAATAATATATTTTACTATCACATTGCATGTGCTTTGGCATTTACAAACACTTATCAGAAATTAGACATATTTCTTTTTAAATACAAAAACACCTCTTGAAATCGGTAAACTGTTAAGTAGTCCATCTGATCCCAAATCAGATCATAATTTCCAAAAACCCCATTTGTCAGCTAAACATAGGAAAATTCCTCAGAGTAATAACTTTATTTATTAGTCTGAGGAAAATTCTTTCCCTCAGAATCAATAAGTTAGGCCCATAGATAAATATATTTATCTTTTTCTATGGTTAGGCCCTGTTCTTTTATTAATTGTTTTGATGCGATGGATTTCTTCCATGTAATATTAATGGTATGTTTAAACAATTGATTTTTGATTGGTTCTACATAATCCATCACATCGAAATAATGATTAAGGGGAAAAGGAATATGCCCTAACTCATCGATTTTATGGGCTGAAAAAATTATGGCGGATTTTAAAATTCAGCCAATCAGCTGCTTTAATTTCAGATTTCAGATGTCTGCGGTCAGAGTGATCAGGGCTATACAGGGTGTCTGGTAAGTATATGGCATACTCTCGGGAGTGTATAGGGGAGGTCAAAATAACCCTAGTTTGTCATAATCTTTTTTCCTAAAGTGCCCCTTAACGGAGATACAGAGCGATATACCTTTTCGGTTCTATCTTTCGAACTGACTTGTACATTTAATAAAATTTTAATATTATATGTAGGCCATAACAACTCCTAAAACGGTATTACAGCAGATGTTTTACACTGTCAAGGAAGTCAGGAACGGACTTGCCACCACACCCATTAGACCAAAATTTTGACAGGTGTCACTTTATAGAGCAGAAAAATGAATTTTTAAATACTTTGGTTATTCCTCTTTAAAAAAGGCACTCTACATTTGTTTTGATAAAATCAGCGCAGTTTTCGAAAAAATTCAGTTTTTGTATAATACATTTAAACATTAATTTATTTAATTATAAAGTTTATTAATATAAGCTATTTAAACACAATAATAATGAAATAATATCACAACTAATAATTTGTATATTAAAATAATAAAATTTGGCATTATTACATCTGCTTATAGTAGTTATACAATGCTTATACATGCATCTAACTTATGGATGGACAATGTTTATTTATTTTCTTATTGAATTAATACACCATATAGAGCAATAACTTTATTACATAGAACAAGTAATGTTATGGGTTTTATCAGACATGTATATATTCTTACACTCCGTCTCTCTTCCAGTCTGTACAACTACTGACCCCGCGACCGCGCAGCCACTCGAGCCTCATCGAGCTCACCCCCTCCCCACGGCACGGGCGCACCGCCACTATTCAAATGCCAAACAATTTAACCAACATNTCTCTGTTTTTTCTTTTACTTGTTGCTTTTCCCATCCAAACTCGAAGGACCATATGTTTATTTATTTTCTTATTGAATTAATACACCATATAGAGCAATAACTTTATTACATAGAACAAGTAATGTTATGGGTTTTATCAGACATGTATACACTCTTACACTCCGTCTCTCTTCCAGTCTGTACAACTACTGACCCCGCGACCGCGCAGCCACTCGAGCCTCATCGAGCTCACCCCCTCCCCACGGCACGGGCGCACCGCCACTATTCAAATGCCAAACAATTTAACCAACAGACAAGCAGTCGGCAATTGTGTGGAGGCAAGAAGAATTTATTCTGATACATTTCCAAATCACTTAAAGGCAAGGCTGTTAAAAATTCGAAAGCTTTGCTTCATCTTCTTGTTTACTTGCAACAGAATTTCAAAATGGTCACCTTTTTCGGATTTCATTATCTGACAGATGTTTTCTCGCTGTACTGGAAACAATATTCCAAAATTGTCTAAAATTTCATTAAATTATACATACAAGTCTGTTCAAAAGTTAGAACCGAAAAGGTAAATCGCTGGGTACCCCTTTGGGGTTCTGTATCTCCGTTAAGGGGCACTTTAGGATTTTTTTATATGACAAACTAGGGTTATTTGTTATTTTGACCTCCCTTATACACTCCCGAGAGTATGCCATATACTTACCAGACACCCTGTATGTTTTGTGGATCAGGGATTATATGTTTTATGGATCAGGGATCATAAGCAAGCGAAAGAGCTTGTAAGATTTTATAAACAATTATAAATTTATAATGTGAGGTTAAAATCACATAACACTTAAAAAGTGTAATGTGGTTAAAATCTATTGATTTTTTTATCACTGAATTTTTAAAATCGATTTCATAAAGAGTTGTGACCACGAAAAGTATTTGTGAGAACTTATGTTTTTGAGGAAGATTAGTGTTTGCTAAATTTACGTGGCATGCAATGTTTAAAAAAACTTAGGTAACTAGTAACTACTATAGTACAATTAAATTAGTACAAATGAAAACTGAATATTTGGAATAGAATTAGCAATTAGCTCAAAGCAAGTGTCCATGTCCAAGCCAGCAGGAAACATGTAAGTTACCTACTGTGTGTTTCACTTTCATATTTTGTTTTGTTTTAACTAACATTTATTTGGACATAAAATGATGATTTTATTTTAATTACTTATTAAATAATTAATTATACTGTTTATTACTTCCAAGGAGATTACCTTATCTAAATCTAAACAAACTGTTTCTGATTGACATACTATTGAGAATATTTGTCTTGCTATATCTTCACCCAGGGGAATTAACATCGGTTTACATAATAGTGCAATAAAAAACAGATAAGTTTTGTCTATAATAAAAACATATTCCAAATTTACCAGTTTTTACGTGATAGTTTCAAATTTCCTTTTGATAGATTGAGAATATTATGGAGTGCGGTAATAGTTGGCACATTTTTTGTTTTATATATAATACTAATTTGTTATAAAAATTTTGATCTTGGTGGTATTGTTCTGACTATAATTTCTATTTGTATTCACTAAAAATTAGGTAAAACGTGTTCATAAACAGCAAATGATATTTAACTATTTATTAACTAACAGAAGCAAGGAACATGATAAAAATACCTAAGAATTACTTTGATTATACAATTTGCACTGATATTATGTAAGTATATTATACAGAGTACTTATTTCTCAGGTTGCCAGACAGTAACAACGTTGGAAGAGGCACATCGTTTTATAGTAGATTGTTTCAAAGCTGTAGGTGTTTCAGAAGAATATGCAGGGATTGTATCTGACAACTTAGTGGAGGCTGACTATAGAGGGCATTACAGTCATGGGATGAACCGTTTGGGTACGCACGGATGACTCAACTTATAGAAATCTAATTAATAATAATTTTTACACAATCAAAAATAAAGACTGTATATCAAATTTGAATGGAATTGTCATGTGCATATTGTACAAATATTCTTTATTACTATGTAATGTAGTTTCGGCCATTAAAATTATGGCAAGAATTTTAGTTACATCCTGTATACAAAGTGTAACACTACAGGGTATCAAAAATGAAGCAGCTCTTTTCTTGATCAAATTTAAGGATGCACAACTGTTCTATGTCAACTTGTATGTTATAAATCTATATCATAAGTGATTTTTTTACAAGTTTTTGTTAAAAATTTCCATTTTTAGTGGCTAATTATATATCTGCATTTACTGTTTGCATCATCTTAGATCTTTTACATAAAATTATAAAAAAATTAAAAATATATGAAATGATTTAGTCAAATCTTCTGAAAAAAAAAGAAATGACCTTATAATCAATTATTTCTCAGCAGTACAATTTGAATCAAATTTGCTAGATAATCATCCACATTAAGGTCATATACACATTTTCTTATTTTTTTTTGCAATAATTGTTAGTTTGACAGTTTGGAAGGCAATGATGGCGAGGAGTTATTTGAAACGGCAGTCGTTAGTATTGTTAATATGATGTACTAAAATCTAAACAATTAAATGTTTCGCATTTGCTTCAGACGTTAGTTCAAACAAATTTAGATTTAACATACTGTATTCTGAGATGATTGTAAAAAGATTCCATTTTAGAGCTATACATCAATGATATTCTGGGCGGAACAGTGGATCCCAAGGCAGTATGTTCCGTTGAAAAACAGACCGTAGCAACCGCGCTTGTGAACGGAAACAATGGCTTAGGAGCTGTAGTTGGAAAATTTTGCATGGATCTGGCCTTAGAAAAAGCCAGGGAAGCTGGAATAGGCATGGTCGTCGTTCACGGTAAATGTTTGCTTATTTAAATTTTTCTCTTCAGTAATCCATAATAGATCGGCATAAGAAAATTTGATGATCAGTAACTTGGATAAAGGAAATCAAAGTATTTTTCCCTTTTTTTCCCCATTTTTTAAGGTGGGAAAGTAAAAGTAGTTATTTACGTAACAAATGTGTAAAATAACATTTTTCTACGACAGAATTTTGAACTTCTACGTAATTGCTCCCTAATTGTATGTGCGTTTTTAAATCCGAAGGGCATTCTAAGGTATTCGTAGTGTCCGTTGTTAGTGTTGAAGGCTGTCTTTGGGATTGATTCGGGGGACATCTCTATCTGGTGAAAACCAGATGATAAATCTAAAGTTGTGAAATATTGCGATCGACTTAAATTGTCTAAAATGTTAATGTAATATTTGGAATGGGGTATCTATCAACTAACAGTTTTTTCATTAACCTTGCGGTAATCTACCCACAAGTCGTCATTTTTTGCTGCCAGAAACATAAAATTTTTTGGGTACAATCCATATGGGACTGGACCAGGGTGAATCTGAAGGTCTAATAATGTTATTCCTTAACATTTGATCAATTTATTTTTGGAATAACCATGGAAAATTATGAAAATCTTAATATAATTTTGCACCTTTTTATGGAAATATGTCTATACAAAGTTCGAAAATAAACTTTTAAATTTCTTGATAATTCTGAAGTGGTTTGAAATAAAAACTTGAAACTTACAAGTGTAATTCAAGTTGATTTGAGACATAATTTAGTGGTGAAAAATCAAGTAATCAGTGGCAGATGTGGGCGCAGCAATGCCATTTCTATAAGCATAAAATTATAAATTGGTGGTTTTTTAATCACCTTGTATAACAGTGTTTGGTCTAATAATATCACAAGGGGACTACTTTGAAGGGGATGGGATAAAAATTGAAGGTAAAATAAATACTTTCTGAGAAAATTAACAGTTCCTGTTACTTTTTGATCTAATCTTGTATTACATAACATACCATTTCACACTGCTTCATTTCTGTAATATATTACCTGTTATTATGCATTATTTCTTTATTACCATTGTTAAATATTAACAATATTGATAACTTAAATATTTCTCACATAGATATGTTATTGACTATCTAGTTAATTTTTTAGAACAAGAAGATAGTTATGTAAAAATGGGAGTGTGTTAGTGAAGTAAAAAAAAAACGCATTTGTTTCTCCGAAAAGTGTTCTTATTAATATGTTATACTTATATTCCCAAATAATTTTTACATGTAGATTCCAACCATTATGGGATTGCTGGAATATATGCGCTACAAGCTGCCAAGAAAGGATTTATGGGGTTAAGCTTCACCAATACCTCGCCTTGCATGGTTCCCACAAGAGCAAAGGATGTAAGTACGTAAGACAAAATGTAAAAGTAAAAGAAACAAAATTAAAAAAAGATTGACTTTTCCCTTTTTTTAAATTTAATTTTTTATATTATTATTTTGCACTTGTACCGTCAAATGGGGTGATCAAATTTCAAGTTTTTCGTGAATATTATGGTTTTCCTCGTGAGTAAAAAATTTGAAAAAAAACTGTTATAGCTCCATTATTTGGCTAAACAATGCATCAATAATTTTCGCCTAATATCCGCTTAGAATAACAAAGGGTGAAGTGAATCAAGTGAAAATTTAAAAAAATCGTTTTAGCACCCAAAATGATAAAACAAATACAAAAAGAACGAAATATCATTTATTCATAATAACCAAACATACATAAAAAATGTAAAAAATAAATATATGTACAATATATTTTTCTTATATCAAAACTATAAAATATAAATAAATAACTTTTAACAATAAAACTAAAATAACACATTCTTTTCGGCAAGTAAGAAAGTTAAGTAAAATTAGTCTATTATTCTAAAGTCGGAAATATTTTTAAATATACAAGCTGTACTATAAGAGGGCCACTATACTTCAAAAATCCGTTTGCACCAGGTGAAAGGCATCAATGTTGCCATGAAATTTTATTAAAATAAATTTTCTCTATCACTTAAAATAAAAAAGTTAGACCACCCTAAACTTTCGGTACTTTTCCGTTTTTTTTATGGTTACTTACAAAGTTGGCCATGGATCTGAAATTTGTTATTACGAGCATAAAGGCCTCAAAAAATGCAACAAAAAACATTTAAAGATTTTTTACGTGCGTCGTGTATTAAGTGAGATTAGAGTTGCCAGATGTCCGGTATTTAAGCGTACATTCTGGTATTTCCGAGGCCTGTCCGGTAAAAAATATATGGTCATACCGGACAGAACAATGTCCGGTATTTTGAGGAAAGTCGGTACTACTGGTCACAAGCGCCTACAAAAGTAGGCATATGAAATCCCTCAAACGCAAAACTCGCGCGCGCTCCTCGCTCGCTGTCTGTATCTGCGTCTGAATTTTGAACTTTATATAACTGTAGCATTAAATTTTAAATTCAATTTTTGCCAAATGTCACTTACCCCATTTGAGATTTCCATCATCGATTTTATGACTGCATTATATTCTGTTACTAATTTAGTTGATTTATGTGATGTTGATTAATAAATAAAAACTGTAAGTATAAAAAAAAACCGTATTTTTTTGCGACCTAGCATACACCCCCCCCCCCCGCCGTTTGGGGTTGTCCGGTATTTTTTCGCGACTCACCTGGCAACCCTAAGTGAGATCCATAGAAGTGACCCTCTTATAGTAGACAGCCTGTGTATCTGCCTCTTCTCAGTTGACTCTAAATCCCAACTTTTTTTATATACTATTTTCGCGGCATTATATCTGAAATAATTAAAATATTTTTGTTATTAGTGTGACTTAAAAATATTGTATACATTTATACATTCACAAATGGTGACCAAAAATGAAAACTCGTATTCTTTGGTGAATTTCGTATAAAGTGTTTATTTAGGATGCTTTTTTAAAAAGATGCACGGTGTTAAGCTTCAAAAAATATTTTTAATTTTTTTAAATAATTTAAAAACTAGTAAGTGAAATAATTTCGAAAAATATGCCACACTATAGCATGTAAATTTTAGGAAAAGCCCTCAGATTTTGGACAATGTTTACATAAATAATGTGCCCAATTTCAAATTATTTCACTTAGTTTTTAAATTTCTCATTAATTTTTAAATTATTTAAAAAAATTAAAAATATTTTTTGAAATTTAACACCCTCTATCTTTTTAACAAAGCATCCTATAAAAACTTTATACAAAAGACTCCCTTTAAAATATACCAAAGAATACGAGGTTTCATTTTTGGTCACCATTTGTGAATCACCATGTATAAATGTATACATTTATTTCACAGCAGGCTATGTATTTGTCAGTGATATAAAAATAACTTTGATCCCCTCCACCCCCAAAATGTAGTTACTCCATAAAACAATTATTTTAAAAACAATCAAATTTCCTGTTAAAATGAGACAAGTGCAAATTTGTTGTTGAAATACCGCATTGCAAATTTGAGGTATTGCATTAACGTAATTGTATTCAATTGTATTTTGTGGACAATGGTTTGTTTACAGACTTTGTGAAATACTGATATTTTACATATAACATTCCATAATTTTTTACATGATCCTTACCCTAACCCTAAGTTAGGGTTGCCACTAGGTCGACACGAAATTACTGACGAAACTTGATTGCATTCCTGACATTTCCTGGCAAAACTTAATTATATTATTACTTGCAATTCCTGGCAATTTAATAGTTTAATCTATTATTTTGGTGATTATTACCTTTGTCTTAACCGTCGTATCCCGTCAGTGTATAAATAGCTATCACTATCACTCTGTAACCTGTAATATTAAACATTAAACAAGGATCGCTGCCGAGTGCCAAGTGTGACAAAATATAATAGTAAAGAAGCATGATACATCGTCATCTAGCGGTGATATCGTGAATCGAAATTCTTAAAACTGATTGAAGTAATCTCTGTGCTCTGTGATGCTTATTTATGATCTTTTAATAACAAATGCAATAATGCAAATGTTGGGGGTTATTTGCAAATCGACATCCCTGAAAATGTTGCTCCCCTGGCAAATTTCTGACGTTAAGTCAATCCTGGCAAATTTACTGGCAGGACTCTTTATTCCTGGCAAATGCCAGTAATTACTGGCAAAACGGCAACCCTGACCCTAACCTAAATAGTAGTAAACACCACATGACGCGCTGGATGTCTCACTTATCGCTGACTGATATTTGTTAGTGATGGGAGAATTCGAATGCAAGAATCGATATCCATTCGATTCTTAAAAGTTCTCGCTGTACTCGAGAACTTTTATGGCGGCATTCGAATACTTGAGAATTCATGATGAGATTTCGTGTATCCCTCAGGACAGGCAGATAGATGGACTAGACACTAGGCGGATGTGCTTTAGAGGCCAAAATTGAATGTTTTTTAAGATTTGTTGTATTGTCAAATAATTTAAACTTTTTACTTATCTTTTTTTAACATGAAATCCCAAACTAATGATTTGCAGCCAGGCTTCATTTTAAAAATAAAAATTCAATAATTATAAAATAATTAAAAACATCAATATAATAATATAAACGAAAAATGCCCCATGAAACAAACCACATCTCTCGTTCGTTGCGAGGTTTACCTTAATTACTAACTGCTAAGCTACCGTCGATGCGAGTACGAATAAACATATCCCAATTATACATTCGAATCCAAACCGTGTCGACGACATACACCGATTCTCCTTTGCCACTGTTCTCGAGTCTTGTTCTCGGATACTCATTCGATCTCGGTCCGGTACTCGGTTCTCGGTTCTCGGATAATCATTCGATTCTTAAAAGTATTCGAGTACCGAGTTCTCGATTCTTAAAAATACTCGATTCTGCCCATCACTAATATTTGTATTCGATCTCGCATGGTAAATGGGCGATATATGGGAATATGTATTTTAAAAAATGTACCCTTGATCCTATTCACCCCATCTGATCCGCATCGCCCCTTTTGACGGTACTTTATTTTAAAAAATATTAAACTAATTCACATCAAGTAAAATTTTAGTAAAATTTGATATTTCTGTTTTTGATATCGGGATGTTGAATAAGTTTTCACTGTTTTTTCGTGGAAATTAATGCCTTGTTTAAAAAGAGTAGTAAAATAAACATGTCACGGAAAGTATTGTCCATCGCTAGCCACTACTTTTTCCCTTCTTTCTGGCACTCGACATCGGAAAAACAATACGTCTTTTGAGTCTATTCAAGAGCCGACCCATTTTTTGGCTCAGCCAGGTCATGTGCCATCGATCAAAAAGAGTGATAATCGGAAGGGGCAATGTCTGGTCAATATGGCGAGTGGGATAAGACTTCCCATTTCCAAGTAGGTATTCAGTATCGCTTTCTCGTGTAATTGATAGCCGCCGTTTTTCTTTCAATATTCAGTTCAACTGCATCAATTGTAGTCGATAGCGATCTGCCGTGGTGGTTTGATTCGATTGGAACAGCTCATAATAAACTACACTCAACTGATCGCGCCAAATGCAGAGCGGAAGCTTGGAGTCGTGGATATTCGGCTTTACCTACTAGTGTCGTAGTGTATCCATTTTTCAGCGCCAGTCACGATATGATGCAAATGATGAAGTAATGCCTCCAATCCTTTATCTTGAAACTGTTTTGGTGTGCCAGAGCATTCTTTATCTTCAACATCAAAATAATTATTTTTAAAACGTCTAAACCAATGTCAGCATGTACAGAAAAGACAAAAATGTGGACAGATAGTCCGGTGAGCATTTTGTTGCCGGATGATAAAAAAAATGTGAAAAAATAAAGGAATAAAAAACAAAAATAAAGTACCTGTTATGTTTTTAAATTTAATTTATAGAAATTAATATTTTAATTTTCATTTGTCTTTTACTTATTTAGTTGATTGCGTGTGCACCTACAAATCAGCATAAGCTATATATTTTCTAGTGTCCTGATATCATAATAAAAAACATTCCTGTATTTTAAAGGCTGCCCTAGGAACAAATCCACTTTCTTTCGCTGCTCCTGGATTAAATGGAGATAGTTTCGTACTGGATATGGCTACTACCTGCGTGGCTATGGGAAAGGTAAAGAATTTTTTTAACTAAGCTGAACTAGACTGTGTTATCAACGGGTTTTCAGTAAAATTTCATTTATGGGAATTAATTTATTTTTAATATACACCACTTACCAGCGAAGGTCAATAGACGTTTGAAGTTAGTTACTTTAATATTTCTGAACGACATTAAAAAAGTCCCCGTTCTTTGCCGGTCACTCAAAAATGTTTACCCTATATGTATATGTATTTCTTATAACATTGAAAATACTGAGGCAGTGACACACTTGCCACTTTTCTCGACGTGAAAGGTCGGTAACACATTTTTTAACCAGCTTTTCATTTTTAAATTTTTATAAAGTGTCTTGAAAACCCAACTGAGTGGCTGTACCGGTGTTGCCAGATGTATTTTATTTACCGATTTGTACCACTATTGTGCGGCGTTGTATCACTGAAGAATGAAATGTACCGTTTTTGTTTGACTGGAATTCGTGTGTGCAATTCATGGTTTTTATGGTCAACGATGGGATCGTTCGTTTTATTCTTGATATAGTCAACCACCCCATTTTGAGCCAGGTTTGCTAATCGAGCAAAATGAACTACTACCTGGAAATTAGGTCTTTGATCATCTCGCACCTAATTCAGTTTCATATTATAACCATAGCTTTAACCATAAATATAAATTTTTATCTGCTTTTGAAAATTTCTATTATGTGTTGTACACATGGATATTTAAAGGTTTAAATTCGATAATTCTAATTATTTATTATTTAAAATTAAAAGAGAGAAAGCGCGTAGTGAAAATTTTTCAAAAGAAGAAGAGATAGCGTTACTTATACACACGTTGGAATTTTACTTCTTGTATTGTATCTAAGTACTGTATCTACACACTGACAGCATTCATTTTGGTGTACCTATGTACTTGAAAAACACAATGACCTTGAAATTCCTCAAAAATTTTCGCCTGCGGCGCTAAGAGGGGAGCTGCCGCCCCTCTCACCCCCGGCACCTCCTCTCATATACGTTCTCTCATGAAAATGCGCCCCCCCTGTGGTTAAACCCACGGGCCGCCACTGCTATAAACCTAAATTCATTAAACTAAACCCACAGAATGCAGACCCATAAACCCACTAAACCAACAGGTTTATGGTTTCAAGAATTTGTGGTTGCAAGATTTACTGGTTTTAAAATTTATATCTTGCAGTTTTTAGATTCGGTAAATATTGTTCATATTTTGTGGTATCATTTATGGTAAACATTTCCGATTGTAGTTGTCGCAATTGTTGCAGTGACATAAGAAAGCGGACATAATTACGAATATTTAAAAAAATAATGTTTCAATTTGGACAACTTTTACTACCTCGTATGGAATTTTGATCGTTTTCGCCCACTGTGCGACAGTTTCAAATAATGCTTACTTAAATCAGTGGAAGGGTGGTTTATCAAACGGTATAATTCAATTTTCAATATAAGCTTGACTTTTTGCACAACTAAGCACAAGTAAATTAAAAAAAATTAACTTTATTGGCTTAAACTTAAAATGTATTTTTTTATTAATTTATTTGGTTCGTTGCCTAAATCATTTGTGTCATTAGATTGAGATACAAGAGAGAAAGGGCCACCCAATACCCGAAGGGTGGGCTCTGAATAGCCAAGGGAAGATTGAAACTGACGCGAAAGTAGCAAGAGAGGCTTCCAGGATGCTACCTTTAGGTGGGGAAGAAATTAATTCTGGTTACAAAGGGTATGGTTTAGCGCTGATGGTGGAAATCTTATGTGGAATACTGTCGGGTAAGAAAAAACAAATAGAAAATTATTATTTATTATTTTCTTGTTCTTATAACTTGTAAAAAATTATGATCGGACTTTATCAGTTCAGGTATCACCTTTTACTGAAAAGAAATAAATATTATGTAAAAATGACGTAACCTCACTATTTATTTGTTGGTACTCCTGAACTTTTCTAAGAAATAGACGAAAATTATAATGTTTGTGTTTTGGTATTTCTGGTATGTCGATAGAATATTTACTGATTCTGTTAATATTTTTCCTAGGATCAGCGTATGGACCAAATATCCCTAGATGGGGAAGTCATAAGGTCATAGCCAATTTAGGTCAAGCTTTCATCGCGATCGACCCCAACAATTTCGTGCCTGATTTTGAAGGACGACTAACCACACTGATGGATTATTTGAGAAACATGGCACCCGTGGGTTTACGTATTCATTCATTTACATTCACCTTTTCGATTCGATTCGCCAATCAGAAATTTGAATCGTTTAAACAGATCATACACTGATGTAATCCATCGCATCAAAATGATGAATGAAAAAATAATTATTTAAAATAAAACAAATAATGCGTATTTTGAATAGCTCTGGATTAACTTAAAAATTTGTGCCCTCATGGTTTTCAAGGTGGGAATTATAAATATGATAACAGTGTTGCAGTCACTTCTAGGGGGCGTTAGTTATACTCTCCCATCTGTAAAAATATGACTAACTTTCAAAAAACACAAAAACTCAACCGTTTTAGAATTATACAACTTCAAGAGTTTAATGATTAAGGGCCAAAATTAAATTAAACAAATTTTTAGTTGTTCTGCCTCGAAAAAAAAAGGTTTAAGAATGGGAAATAAATTCAATTTTTTAAATGTATCAATATTAATGTTTCATTTTTTGTGGTTATAAAACAATTAAATGATGTTAAGAATGCATCAATACAATAAATATAGAAAAGTATTAGCAGTAGTAGAAAATTCATATTTTACAAGTATAGTCTTTCCGAAGTCAGTTGAACATGTAAAAAACACCTGGCAATAAAATTTAATCGTCCCTAAAAAAGTTTATGCCATGCAATGTAATAATATTAGTAAACAAAATATCCCTCTCATTTCTCCCTTTCGCAATTGTAATATGAATGATTAATAGAAGATGCCTCTAATAAATTAAAATTACCTGAATCACACCAAATTCCGCATTGCTGCACTGCACTGCTGGACAATTTGTCAACCACTTGTTAACAGCTGAGATTTATTGCCCAGTGGCCTAATGCAGCTGTGTTTGTAATTTCGTTTGTCCACGCTCGCATTCTTCAACTGGGCGTATGCATTCCTACCACCTCCACGTTTAGTTCGACCAGACCTGTATATGGGTATGGCTAAATAAATATGGGAACAAGTTTTTCAAATATTTCAATGCCGAGTTGCTGCATCAGCGACCGAACCTGGTACAAACTGCCAATCTCTTGGTTCTTCAATTGATATCGGAAAGACTATACTACATACAAGATTATAATTGCCTTTCTATCTAGAAAATTTTTTATTTGATCAATATACCTTAAAAAATCTTTTTGAAAGAAGCTTAGTAAAAAGCTCAAATAAAAAATGTTTTTGGTAGAAAACACTCATTAGTCCATAGCACTTAATAAAGTTTGAATCTGCTGCATTTTGATTTTGAAGTAAATTGCAAAATTCAACACACACGACAGCTGTTTCGTTCAACGTTCGACCGGTCTCTAGTCCGCCAACGCTTTCGCCGTCATAAAATGTGTCAGGAAGTTGGCGCTGAATTAACGGAACTTACGGGGTAATTTGCTTATTTTTTAAAAGGGCAAGTAAATTTTTTTTTCGATTTTCTGTCTATTAGGCCTTCCGTGGTTAAAATTAATCACTTTATGACTGAATCACCTCATATTATAAATAATTAAATAAATCATCTTTTTGTATTCCTATTTAATCACTTGTAGTAAATAGTGGAGTAAAGGTAGCTTAAAAATATGCATTATTTCAGAATAATTAGCAAATCATTGGATTTTCATAAAACCTTTTGCAATCACCTTGAAATGCCTTATAGAAAAAAGTTATAAACTTATATTTGTACGCTAATTATTATTTAATTGTTTAAACAATAAAAAAATGGTTTTTCAAAGATTATTTTAAATAAATCAAAAAATTTCAAACCAATTTTAATAAATTTGATACTATAGGGGTTTTCGAAGTCGCTTGAACAATAATATATGAAAATAAAAATTCTAAATGGCTGATCCAATATGGCGGCCTTTTTAAAAAAGTTTATTTAAAAATTATATTTTCAAAGCAATTTTACTCATACTGATATTTATAGGATTTTTCAGATCATTGAACAAATATAAAATGAAATCAACTCGTTAAATTTTAAAGAAATTTGGGTATGATGTTTAGGGTTCTGCAAAAAGTCAATACCTATATGGAATTCTTAATTAACAAATTTATTAAATATGAAAAAATATTTGCATATTAAAAATAGAAATATAAAAAAACAATATTCAATTTTCATTCTCTTAAACCATTGTAAGTTCTGGCAATTGGTCTGATTCTAGTTCTTCTTCGAAAAATGATGGGCAATTGAGACAATCAGTTCTGGAACAATTAGAGCATGCTCTGGTGCAAAGTAGACCCGCCTTCCGGCAAACGTAATTATTAGCACAGACACTTTTGCATCCGCAAAAAATCATTTTGAGAAGTTCACTTGGTACTAGATCTTGAGTCATAAAAGTTGGAGTCATACCCGAATCCTCTCATTTCCAACCCCCAGTCTTCTGCCTGCAATTTTTTGTCAAGCCAAGCCTGCACTTGGTAATATACCCTCTTGAAATGCAGGTTAGCTGCATCTTCTGATGGTGGAAGTGCAACTAAATTCATTTTTTCTGTTTTGTTGTTTCTTTGAAGAAGCATTTGTATCGAAATTCACTTTATTTGTATCGTTGCGCCATATAAGGCTAATAAACACGTAACACCAGCATTGCAGATCGTATCAATGTCTTGATTTGGTTTCAGAAAAATATCAATGGCTTCTTGCAAATAACTCTTTCCCTCGCACATTTTAGCAAATATCACTTTGCTTTTTCCAAAAAAACATGATGTAGTGTCAGATCCAGTAAAAGCATGAATAAATATAATTCGTATTTTATACAATATTATAGTAACAAAAAACTTTTTTTCGTTGATTATACTTTTTTAAGATCATAGTTTGAAAATATATTGGTTAAACAAGCAAAAAAATTTTTTGACAACAAATTTCATCGTTTTAGAAGAAAAAAATTTTGTTTTTGTTTTTCTTTAAATGTTATTATAAATTCAACGTTTTGAATAAAACAAAATGGACCATCTTAAAGTACAATTTTCAAGCCTCAAAAAATGCTCCTGTAAAGTTGCAATATCATATTTTGAACTAAACTTATTGAACTTTGAAACGTGACCTAAAAAATCAAATTTGCCTTTTTTTTAAATTATTGAATACTTTGAGCGTTGTATTTTTTGAATTAAAATCTTAAGATTTTTTTATATCACTCACTATTTTAAATGCTATTTCAAGAGTAATCTCTGAAAGTTTTAATTTTTTATCTTAAAAATTAAAAAAATAGCAGATCTTTAATTAATTTTGTAGAAAATTCCACCGTTACGTAACTTTACTTCTATCACGCGCGCTCGCTATGGGACCTATAGTGTAGGGGGTTAGGTGCACGGAAAGTGCTAAATAGTACAACAGCGTGATGTTATTTTCATAGCGCAACGCTCGAGCTATAGGTCCCATAACGACTCGCACTTGTGATAGAAAATAGTATGTGCAACTCGTTCGGAAAAGTTGCCATAGCGCCACTTGGGCGCTTTCCGCATTCGCTTCGCTCGTGCGTCAATTGCGTCCGCGTGGCGCTATTGGCAACTTTTCCCCACTCGTTACACAATGTACTATTACACACTATTCCTGTAAATATTTTTTTCGATTTTAAGATCATGATAACTTGTTAGCTACAAGAATCCTCTTTCATTTAAATTTTTGTGGACTTAATTTGATCGAATAGATCAAAAGTTATAACAAATTTAGAGTCCCCCGCGCAAGTGCTTTACATTTTCGTACGATTTAAAAAAATTCTACAACCTACAGTTTTCATTTTAGAAAATAACTTTATATACATTTTTTGTGTAAAATTTCCTGTTGTTTCGATTGGTGCAATTAGTTTAAAAAAAAAATGAATTTGTTGAGATATACAATAAACAATGGAAATTTGCTACTAATTTGTTAAATAAATAATCATGCATACACTCTACGGTTGGTAACTTTTTATATGTTGTTCCTAACACCCTCACAATTGTGTCAAAAGTTACCCGATCTGCTAATTTTTCCAGTCAAAATCTCATTTTACTCCACTAAAAATATTATTATTAATTTTATCGTGTAGTTCTCATTTCCACAAAATTAGTAGCTTAGATGACCTAATTATCTATGAGAAAATTTCTTAAGTCAAATTTTTTAATCAAAATTTCATATGCTAAAGCCCTGAGAAACAATTCAGAAAACAAAAAAATGAAATAGGCAATATATTTTTTTACACAATTTGATTTTCCTCTGGTTACCTCTCAGCCTTTCTGGATAGAAAGGGGCTCAGTGAAATAAAAACAAGTTTGTCATTCCGTGGAGTAAAACAAGAAGTAGAACTTCTACCAACTACAAACCCCCAAATAAACCCTACAAATGGCCCATGAACGAGAACACTACGAGCCCCCAACCCCTAAATTTATAAGACCTTCTTTCGAAATGCCCTGTCTAAAGCGAACTTTTAGTAATAAATATTGAAGGTTTCTTTGAAGGTTTACAAAAAATACATGTAATTATCTCTCGAAGTCTCTCAGTTACGTTCTAATTTTTTTAGGTTGAATCGGACAAACCCGTTCTTGTTCACGGTGATCCGGAAAGAACGCATATGTCAGAGGTGGATAAGAGGGGCGGCCTCTGTTATGTGAGCAATCAATTGGAAGCAAATGCGCAACTAGCGAAGAGACTAAAAGTAAAACCTATGGCCTCTACAGTGGAAACTAAGTGATTTTTTTAAATCATTTCTGTTTCACTCAAGAAACTAAATGTTTTTAATTTATGTATATAATGTATGTATATTATATAAAAAAAATTTACACCATTTGTCTAAGTTGATTAATTGATTTCATTTTTTGCGTCGTTATACAGGGTGCCCTAATATTTCGGGTCTACCACAGATTCTAGGGATCGAAGTAAGACGATATAAGTAATTAACTTGCCTTTACCCAAAGTTGCTTTGTTTAGCCATAGAGGGCATCGAAGGCGGCAATAAATTTTATTTTTTTTTTCAAACAAACAATCTGTCGGATTTAAGTGAAATTTGTCACTTGGTGTAAATGGGGCATTTCACACCGAATCGACCACTTTTAACCCCGACCTGACCCTTCGATTTGGCTGAAACTTTTTTATTGTTTTCTATCCCATTGAACACCTTTGAGAATTTTTTCAAATTTTTTTCGCCCAACTCAAAAAAAGTTATAAATTTTTGAAAAAATGTTTTTTTAAATAACCATAACTTTTTCAAAAATTGATATCGGGACTTTTTTTCAAAATTTTTATTTTTAAATGTACAATTTGAACAAAAAATTTCCAGTTTTTATTTAAATTTTCGAAAAAAAACTAAAATTTCTCCATTACCATTTTTGAAATTTTTTTTTTTTTATACAAAACATTTATAAATCCTCAAATTTTTTCAGTGGTGTTTTTTTATTTTCTATTTTTTTTTATCGATTGAAAAATATTTTTTTTTTCAAATTTAGTTTATTTCACATACCATTTTGAAAATTTTATATATACATATATGAAAGAAATAATTGAAAGTGGTAAACATGAAAAAAATTTCGATTTTTTTTGAAAAAGTTAAGAAAAAAAAAGATCGTTTTGAATAATTTTTTGTATTTTTTTCGAAAACTACATTCAAAAACAAAGAAAATGAAAAAAAAAGTTGTTATTTGGTCTATTTTTGGATGAACAGTGGGCTTTAAAAAAAGACATGCAAGTATGCAACGCATTTGAACTCAAATAAATCATTTTGATACCATCTTTTTTGACTTTTTGAAATTGTCATCAATCGCCGCATAGAATAAATTTTTTCAATTTTGGGATTCTGTATACATTTTCAAAAATTTTGAAAATGGTGCTATGTGAAATAAGGTAAATTTGAAAAAATTTTTTTTCAATAAAAAAAATGGAAAACGAAAAAACATCACTGAAAAAATTTGAGGATTTATAAAAAATGTCCGTTTTTTATAAGAAAAAAAAAAAATTAAAAAATGATAATTGAGAAATTTTCGTTTTTTTTTCGAAAATTGAAATAATTTTTGATCTATTTTTTTTCAAGACGTACATTTAAAAACAAAAATTTTGAAAAAAGGCTATTTTTTCAAAAATTCATAACTTTTTGAGTTGGGTGAAAAAAATACGTAAGCCCTTCCGAGTTAGTCGTCAGTCTGCCAAGTATATTGAGACGGTTGTAGCGAGTCCCTGAGACTTTTTCGTGCGACGACTATTTCGATCTCTTCCATTTTTTAAAATGGAAGAGATACAGATCAAAACAGAAATTTAGTCGGGCGGAAGTGGTGCGGACCTACTCCTTTTAGCGACCTCTGGATGGATCTATTGTCTTTGGATCAGGTGCAAGACCCGCATGTATTATTTATCATTTAACGACTTTCCTGTGTTGGAACTTAATATTTATTTAAAATTTTAATACTTCGGTGCTGGAAATAAATACAATTTAGAACAGTTAAATAGCAGTAATTAAGATACAAAATCGGTACGGTAAACAGATTCAGTATTAGACTTTTGGTTTATTTTGCAATAAACAATCTAATACTCCAAAACGGTACGCCATAAACAATTATTCGGTTTTAATTTTGGTTTGTGCTAGGAAGAAAAAGGGTTAATAAATCAGAGTAGTTAATAAGCCACAAATATACCGGTTCCAAATGGCTCTGAAACAGAAAAATAATTACGGGCTATTCTAATTCTACAAATAAATTTAGTCAGCGATTTCTAGCAAAGCAACAGAAATTAAGCAGAGTTAATACCAGCCAAGGAGAAAGCGAAGCAAGCAATACACAAGTGGCATAAATAAGCAAATGATAATCAGGAAAAAGGACTTGTTTGGTTAACAGGAGGCAAAGTTTATTCGAGGTGCACGTTCGGACGCGCGGTCGGTGACAGATTTCTCCTGGTAGTGATGTTGCCAATACAGGACAAGCAAAAATAGGAAAATACAATTTGCTTATTTATTCCAGGTCGCTGCTCCTGATGGCTAACTCCTTCGGTTCGGATGGCGGTCTCAGGTAAAGGTTTCAATTCCTCGGGGTGGTCCTCAAGGTGGTGCTGGAGTTCTTCGAGTTCAAGATCTGAACTGCGGATCTTCCTCCAGAAAAACTGGTTTTATCGCCTTGATCCCCTCCTGACTAGCAAAATTCGTGGTGGGATCGTGCGCGCGGCACTCGCCGGAGTAGGGCAAGCGGACAGTTTTAATCGGCACGCGGTTAAGTGCTCTTAACCAAATAAGCTAATTACTGAAAATAAATAGCCTTAAACCTTACATAAAACTGAAAACTGAAAATGGTTCATTACATCATCTATTAAATAACCAATTAATAATCGATTATTGCGAACATTTTCATTGTATAAAATTTTATTCAAACTCAATGCATCATCAATGGTTACCCTATTTTGCTGTAACCGCCTTAAAACCAACAAATTTTGAAAGTGTTTTTAGAACCTTTGTACATTTTGGTACGACTAAAATTTTTTAAGTCCATAAAACCATCTTCTGAACACAAATTTTTTGCATTACCCAAATTCATGGCCAGCAGTACGAACTTTCTTTATAATTATGAACTTCCAAATAGCCATTGATAACACAAAAAAAGAAAAGTAGTCTGTACTTTTCATGCGACATATGTTATCTGTAGTATTTTTGTCTCCTGATCACGGATGTTATTTTTTTAAAATTTGGTCGGCCATCTTGAATCCGCCATCTTGAATTTTGCAAAATTGACCTCGAATCCGTGATCAGCGACCCTGAAAACCCCCCGTATACCAAATTTGGCGCGAATTTGTTATTTTTTGAAAATTCGTGATATCTGACCTTAATTGACTTTTTTTTGAGGTTAGAAAAAGAACCATCAATTCTGACTGTTAATTCACGTTTGGTGTTTTTTTCTATATAAATGAACATTTCAATATAGAAAAAAACATTTTCTAGTTTTCCTAGCACTTTTTCGTGAATTTTTGCAATTTTTGACCTATTTTTTGAGGTTAGGAAATTCCTGTGATGTGATAGCTCAATTCTGACACCGGATTCGTGATCAGGAGACAAACATACTACTGATAACATATGTCGCTTGAAAAGTACACACCACCTTTTTTTTGTGTGGCTATCATACCAAGAATATTGAAATTTTCTTGAACTTTCCCGACCTCTTCTCTATTCCCTAATACCATTTTAATACCACCCCTAAGGCCGTCGTTTCCGAGGGAATGGGGGCCTCTTGGCAACAATCGTCTCATCTGGGTAGTTTGGCGGGTAAATTTTTGAAACATCGATGAAACTATTCAAAACATTGGTGAATTTTCATGTTCTTTCATCATCTTGGATGTCTCCGAGATGATCTGATGGTAATTGCAACATCTACGGAGCCTCGCGAGAAATATTGGAAAGATCGGTGAAAAATGAATTTTGTTAGCAAAACCGTTTTATATTCTTATTTTATGGCTGGAACTACACTATATGGGCTTTTCAAGCATACTATGACAATATCTTTTAATGCAAATTTACCGAGCAGCAAAAATTTTACACAAATCGATTAATTAAACAACTTAGTTGACTGGTGTAATTTTTTTTATTTATGCATTATATACATTTATACATGCACTATAAACATTTTTCATTGAATGAAACTGATGTTAAAAAAATTACTTGGTTTTCATCGTACCTCCCATAGGACTTACGTTTAGTTTCTTCGCTAGTTGCGCATTTGTCTCAAGTTGGCTGCTTACATAAAGGAGGCCGCCCCTCTTATCCACCTCTGACATGTGCGTTCTTTCCATGTCACCGTGAACAAAGACAGGTTTGCTTGACTCTACCTAAAAAAATAAGAATATAACCTGAGAAACTATGAGAAACAATTACATGTATTTATTGCAAACCAACAACGAAATTTTCTATTCTTATTTCTAAGTTCTAGTTCGCTTTGGACAATAGGCTGTACACAATGTTTTGAAAGAAGAAATAATTTAGGGGTTGGTATATGGAACGTAGACCAGGCGTGAAGACTTATGGGCCGCGCATACAATGTCGGATCCTGTTTTACAAGGCAAATTAAAGTCTAGTAATGAAGTTGCCCAATTTCTCGCGCGTCTTTTTCATACCCTACTTAGATCAGCGCCGCCTTTACAGTGCTCCAAGAAATGGCTCACTTTTTTAACATGGAGCCTTCACTCCTGGTCTACACTCCATAGGTTGGAGCATGTAAACTCACGGGTGCCATGTTTCTCAAATAATCCATAAGTGTGCTTAATCGTCCTTCAAAACCTGGCGCAAAATTATTGGGATTGATTGCAATAAAAGCTTGGCCTAAATTGGCTACTGCCTTTTCACGTCCCCATCTACGGATATTTGGTCCGAATGCTGATCCTAGAATCAATATATACGCTATCAATGTACAATATGCTTCAGTTATTCCAGAAACATATAAAAATTTTATCCCACAATATGATAATAAACAACAAAACAATAAAAAAAAATTGCTGTCCATAAACTGGTTTAATTCATTTTATTTAGTATACAGGGTGTCCCATTTTTATTCTGAAAAAAATCAGGAAAAGATAGATCCGATAAAATTAAAGGGACTTTGCTATATAAACTTATTTCGAAATCTGAACCCTTTCCGAAATACAGGGTGTTGAAGTTGAATTTATTTTTTCATTTTTTGTTAATATCGGAGTTATAAAGTAATTGTTCCCAAATTTTGTGTGGTGAATACCACAGTGCACTAGTACTAATACACAAAACCTCAGCTTGACAGAAAAAGCCAGTGGCGTGCATTCCGCACTTGTTGATACCTTTTATAAAAAGTATGTGCTACGCCATTGACTGATCTTCAAAATAATAAGTAATTTCAATTGTCCGTGCATTGTTCTGTCAAAAAGCATTTTTACGTTTTCTACATAATAGGCACAGTTACAGAGTAAACCGACATTTTATGAAATCATCCCTAATCTTAATTTTAGCAGAACTCGATGACTATTCCTTATCTAAGAAATGTTGAAGCGCACTCCTGGCTAATTGAATACTATCTGTGATTACTAACAATGATGTTTTTTTAAGTTGGAAAAAATTTAAACATTTAAAATTCTTTCAGTGATTTAATAACAATAATAATTAATTATAATATTAATGCACATTAACGTTTAATAAACTAAAGAGAAACTGTATCATTAATGTATCAATGAATATTTAAATATTGTTCAAATATTCTCAAATCTATTCTTTGATTTCTGTGCTCTAATGTTTTAATGTTCTTACATTACCAATTTCATGGAGTCTTTGAAATGTATCAGTAAATACTTGAGAATTTGGATGTCGTCTATCAGGAAACCTTCGTCTGTATTCTCGAGATGCCTCCAATGCGTTACCATTACACAATCCGTAACAGAACACAATATCAGCATATTCAGCATTTGAAAATTTATATGGCATTATTAAAGCACTTAATGGTATTTTATAAAAAGCTAAATCCGAGTAATTAATGTAAAAAGTTTTCATTTCTCAACAAAGAGTGATCATGTCAAGTTTATTATGACAACTAAAACTGTTTTCAAAGCAACTCTGATTTTTAATTTTCTGTCACTACGAGTGAAGTGTATTGCTACATTACTGGTGCAGTTTCAGGAATCAACATCACAGATAATATTCAATTAACCAGGAATCTGCTTTAACATTTTTTAGATAAGGAATACTGAAGCCATATTAAAACAGCCTGAGCGTTTCAGTTGTTGATTAAAACAGTTCTGCTAAAATTAAGATTAGGGATGATTTTATAAAATGTCGGTTTACTCCGTAACGGTGCCTATTATGGAGAAAACGTAAGAATACTTTTTGGCAGCACAATGCACGGACAATTGAAATTATTTATTATTTTAAAGATCAGTCAGTGACGTAACACATACTTTTTATGAAAGGTATCGGCAAATCCGGAATGCACGCCACTGGCTTTTTCTGTCGAGCTGAGATTTTGTGTATTAGTATTAGTGCACTGTGGCATTCACCACACAAAATTTGACAACAATTGGTTTATAACTCCAAGAGATATTAACAAAGAATGAAAAAATAAATTTAACTTCAACACCCTGTATTTCAGAAAGGGTTCAGATTTCAAAATAAGTTTATATAGCAAAGTCCCTTTAATTTCATCGGATCTACTTTTTCCTGAATTTTTTCAGAATAAAAATGGGACACTCTGTATATATTTTCATTTAAAATTTAAATCCGAAGTACTGGGCGTTCAAAATTGTCAAGTAAAAGTAAAAAAAAATCCTTGTGCATATATAAATAAATTTTTATCTAAAACAATTTTAATTTAATTTAATTAATAATTAATTTTAATAATTAATAATAATTATTGTTATTATATAATATTATTAATGATCGGTAACAGACATCGTAAGACATGTGCATCATCGTTTTGCCCGTTCAAGCCGCTGTGAATGAAATTATTAACGATGACCCGAATCTTTCGACTTCAAGTCGAGCTCAGCATTTGGGCCTGTCATACGGCACATTGTGGCGCCATGATCATCGACTTTTTTAGCCTGAAATTGAAGATTTTGATCTGGACGATATGTGGTTTCAACAAAATGGGGCCATATGCCACACAACGCGGCCAATTATGGCTTTATTGCGCGAGAAATTCCCAGGACGCTTAATTTCGAGATTCGGCGATGTGGCTTGGCCACCAAAATCCTACGATTTAACGCCTTTGGATTTTTCTTTGTGGGGCTATGCGAAAGACCGTGGTCATGCAAACAATCCCACAACTTTGGAGTAATTGAAGGACGAAATATATCAAGTTATGGCTGAATTATTGCCCGAATTGTGTGAAAAAGTCTTCGAAAATTACCTCAAAAAGATTGAGTCCTGCAAACGGTTCCGTGGAGGACATTTGAATGATATTGTTTTTCACGCATAATGGCATAGTCCAAACTTTATTATGAAATAAAAGTTCCATCGAAATTTAAATATTCAGTGTTTTTTTAAACTTTACTTTCCTAAGGAGAAAATGGATAACCCGTTATTTTAAAAAATAACTTCAAAAGGAGTCCATGAAACGATCTTCCTGCTTACAACTTTTGAATCGATGATCCGATTAGACAATTCTAGAATTGATTAAAGGCCAAAAAGTCAGTGGCGGCTCGTGACATTGAGAATAGGTGAAGAATAGTCATTGATTGACTAACAAGAAAGAAAAAAGTGACGCAGGCGGAAATTTTCAAAATTTCAAGGTCAAATGTCTTTAAATCCCTCCTTCTTCCACACGCTCGACACCCACAATTAAACACAGTATACAGAAAAACCCGTGTGAAAACAGCAGAAACGTTTTTTTTTAAATAAACACTTCCACACCACCACTTATACTCCGAATACATTGTACACATTGTCTTTTGACTTCCCCTTTTTTCCATATCGAGAGAATAAGGCACATGTTTCCACTAAAATACATACTGGATCATACATAGGAAACATTTCTACAATTATTATACAAAACAAATATTAACAAAGAACCTTTATAATCGTGCACTGGGCGACGCGTATCGTATAAACTGTTTAACGCGATGCCGCGATGGGCAATGACAGTGCTGCTCCAATTTCCGCGTCACTCGTGCCCCCACGCCGCACAGTGGGAAATATTGGAAAAAATTCGAGCCACGCATAAAAACTAATCAAATAGTACTCATTTTTCTTATTCTTTTGGAAATTACCTGTACTATAAAGTTCCGGTGAGGTAATTGGAATATATGCCTAGAATTTTTTCAAAATGGCCATGTAATCTCTAGTCTCAAACTCGATCATACGAAGTTTGACATATTTGGTATTTAAAAATGAAAAAAAAAAAGGAAATTATGTACTAAAGGCCGCCAAACAAAAAAAAATCATAAACATTAAACATATTCCTAAATCATGAATCTAGACCCAAAACATAATAAAAATTATTATTATTACTACCAATATTTGAAGTTAATAATAATAATATTAACTTCAAATATTGGTTGCACACTCAAAAGTACAATTTTTATGGATTTATACTCACAGGTTTA